CTCGGAGATGTTTTTTTTTGTAGCAAAAGTGAATTTTCTCTGAAGGGTGAGGGCAGACAGAGTCCTGGGAGGGCGCCAGGCGCTCAGGGGCAGAGGAGGTGGGAGGGGGTCCCGGCAGCCCCCTCACCCCGGCATCCTGCTGTTGGCCTCAGAGCAGCACCAGGCTGCGTGCTCAGCTCTGCGGGCTCCGGCCCTCGGCCCTCCCACCTCCTCACACCCAGAGCGCCCGGGACCCCCCCCTCCCTGTCAGCCACCAGCTGGTCCTGCCGCCGCACTGGTGCCCCTGAGAAAGGATCGCCCCCCACAGCCAGGAAGCCAGGCCCCCCAGCCCCCCTTTTGCCTCTGGTAATAGAAGAGCAGAGGCTCCAGTTGGCCAGCTTGAGTGGGAAACCACCACACTCGGATTCGGACCCAGCCACGCAGGGCCACGGGACTCAGCCAGCCCTGGGGACACCAACAGCCATATTCCTCCCACACCCGGGGCTCAGCGAGTCCTCCGGGGGGCAGGGTCTCCGGAGACCTCCCACAGGCAGCCAGGCATGGCCAGGCCAGGCCCTGAAACCCACTTCCCACCTTACAGGGCTCCAGTCCTGCTACTGTCCCCAACCTGTCACCAGCTGGTGACACTGAGACCCAACCAGCATTTAGAAGCTTTGCCTTTTTCTTTCCCCTGTGAAAAGCAGTCGTGCATATTTCCTTCCAGTCCTTTGAGGCGGGAGACGCGTGTGTGTGCGCGCGTGTGTGTGCGTGTGTATGCGTGTGCGTGTGTGTGGTGCACGCGCATTAGGCGAGAGAGAGAGAGAGGTCACTCAGACGGGTCATGCCCAGGGTAGGGTGGGCTCCCTGCTTTTTTGCACCATCTGGGGGTCGCACTCCCCAAGGGCACCTGGACTCTGTCACCAGGCGTCTGAACAGCAAATGGCCGGCCGGTCTTTCTGGAAACCCCGCCGCACTGCCTGGCTCACCCGCAGCGGCAGACACCTCTTCGGGAGAAGCAGGTTGTCTCCGTCTGCTGTTCCCTCCAGGGGCGCCTGTCCCCGTAAACGCAGGTCCCTGTTGTGTCGGAAACCCAGTGCATCCGTGTGCGTCCGTGTAGGTGTCTGTGTCGGTGTCTGCGTGGGTGTCTGCACGGTACCCACCGCCGCTCCACAACGCATGGCTCCCGTGCAGGGGGTGCGGTCCAGGCTGCACCCCGGGGTCCAGCAGTGGCTTTTTCTGACCATTGTGTTTCGTCAGAGCCCGTAGGTTGCGGCATCTTTGGATCTGCAGGGATCTTCTCTGTCTGCATGTCCCTCGGGGTGGCGTGTCCCTTGCTCCCTCAGCCTGGTGTGTGTCCCCCCGCCTGCATGGACTTCTCCAGTTCTGTGTTTCGTGCCGAGTGCCACCCATTGTTCTGTGACCATCCACGTAGCTACCGAAAATGGCTGGGAAAGCAAGCCAAGGGTGTCGGGGGAGGTCCCGGGAGAGGCCGGTTTCCCTCTCCCCCTCCCCGCCCCCCCAAACACACCAAGAAGTATTTTCCCCCTGTAGGAAGAGAACAGGCCTAAACAGCACCCATGGGAGAGAGCGAGAGCTGGGGAATCACCCCGCTAGAGCAGATTGCCCACCCCCACGGCGGCCATCTGGGAGCTGTCGCGAGGCGAGGCCCAGAGCCGCTCGGTGCTCTCCGGTCAGCGCCTCCCACCAGCCCCCCCGGATCTCCCGGACCCCAGACCACCTGCCCAGCGGGCGCGGTGGGAGCTGTCCGATCAGGACCACAAGCCATCCTCTGCCCTAACTCGACAGGGGCGGAGCACACCCGGACGCCTATGTCCACGTCCCCCTCCCTGCCCCTGCCCGGGCGCCTCCCCGGCGCCAGGGACACAAGCTGACACTTAGCTCCCCTCCCTCTCCTAACTGGAGCCTGTGCCAAGCCCCCGACTCCCTCACTGTGTTAACACCGGGCACTTTGCCGGCCCCCAGAGAGGCAGATGACACAGCCACAAATCGAACCCCCGTAGTTTCCATCTCCTCCTCAATCGGATCGCTCGCCCTCTCGCACTGACTAACCCATGCCTAACTCAGGTACGCCGTTTTATAAAACAGGATCAGAAGCACTGTGGGGGCGGTCGGGTCCGCGTCAGCCCAGCCCGGTCCCCGGCTCCCCGCGCCCGAGGCGGGGCCGCCGCCCGCAGGCCCCCCTGGCCCTGGGGGGGTGGGGCTGAGATACCACTTGAATCGCAAGCCTTCCTGCTTTTGATAACTTGGTGTTATTCCTCTTACTGTAGAAGACAAAGTTTATTACCAAACAAGAGTATTTTTATGAAAGAAAATGACAAACCTATAAATTAACCCATATCTTCCCCCGAAAACACTTTTAGGCTCCGCCGACACTTTGGACCGAGAGCGCCGTATTTTGGGAGAAAGAGACACGTTTTGTAAGCTTTCTTTCCCTTTTGTAGATTCCCAGTTTATTTTCTAAGACTGCTAAGGTCACCTTGTCACCAGCCCTGGGACCTGAGACCAAGGGGGGGGTGTCTTGTGGGCGATGAGGAAGGAGGGGAGAGGCTGGCGCGGCCACCTGTGCCCACGGGCACGTGGGGACTAGGCGGTCACGGCCGTAGGTGGACCCGGTGAGGACTCGGTTAGCAGTCCCAGCCCTGGCGGGAGGAACTAGGGGGACGCGTTGCCAACACTAAGAGGACGATTCTTTGTAACCTCACGGCCACCACGATGGGGCCCGAAGCAG